AATTCAGGGAACGGAAATACAGTCCCATCTACTCCTTTTAGAATATATTTAACTAATACAAATGTCACCTGTATGGATTCAGGAAATTGCAGATCTAAAATGTGCATGTCTAGATTTTACAAGAAAGGAGGACAGAAACCCACTGCAGCTGTAACAATGTGCCATACTGTATCTTAGATTGGATGGCCTTGTTGATGCGTGATTAAATCATGAAATCTTTGACCTCAGGCCATGCATCCCCCAATACAGGTTGGGGTACTTTGGTAATCTTTCACTGTCTCTGAGTTGGTTTGAAGGCTGAGGTGAGATTGATGAAAGGCAAACAAAGTCTAATGTCCTGGTTGCTGGTTTTCGATCATGGGATGAAGGACGCAATTCTGCTTCTCTGCGCCTTGCAAGGTACATATACTGTACACTTTCTTCATGGAGTTCCAGGCCATGTTAGAAACATAAGATGCTGGGATAATGCTCCAATCTGAGCAACGCAAACTGAATTACTGGTAACCCCGAAATTATTCATAACCCTAGTAGGTTTAGGTTAAAAATTAATGTCATTTCTGTAATAGAAATAATTAACTAACTAAATATATATATAATTATGTTTTTGAAAGGAGTGTTTCACCATATTCTGTGATCTATCATGTATTGTGACCAAAGTTGGTGCTATTGTGAGTTGTCCTCACCAGAATAATACCTAAACCTAAAGCTACAAGACTAATAGATAAAACCTAATGTCACAAAACTCATCCCCAAGCCCTATTTTGCAATATTTATACAAAAACTGAAGAAGTCTTAAATGAACTTGGTTCAAGTCTACTTGGTTCACAATGTATCAGACAGTGTTGTGGTCAAGACCACCTAACCCGAGACCAAGACAAGACCAAGACCAGAGTGTATCGATACCGAGACAAGACCAAGACTTTTAGGGTCTGAGACCGAGTCAAGACCAAGACCAGCGCCAGTATGTGACAATAAAATGTCAAACATCATCAAAATCACAAAAATTGATCTAAAAGACCCACATTCACATAAAAACACCTAGATATTTAACACACAGAACTGGACTAAACATTAACATCTTTATTTAGTACTTCTGTGTAGTAATCACAGAATTTCAACCAATTAATCAAAGTCGATCAAAATTGTATTTTCTCTGCTGTTCATGAACAGTACATACATTTATGTTGTTTTTAAATGTGCTATTTCAAAACAATGTGCAAAATTCTGTAAAATGTGTAAAACTGAAAAAAAGCCAATCATTTCTCTTGTTTCTCTCTCATATACAGATTAAAGCTATATTATATAACTTTTCTTAAATAAATCTATATCTGTCACCAAGTTGTGATGTTATGAGACAGATAATTTGTTGAAAAAATAGATTGATCTCCTTCACTGCATTTACCAATGAGACAGGTTATTGCTTGGATTTGAATCCAAGCATCCAATAAAAAGAAGGATCTTAAAGAAACTGATAATATTCTGATGATTAGCATTATTTCCACAGTTGTGGTCTTGACTGGTATTGCAATAAAATGCTGAGTCCTCAGCGCCCGAGACCGAGACAAGACCGAGACCAAATGCAGTCAAGTCCGAGACGAGACCGAGACCATCAAAAAATGGTCTCGAGACCGGTCTTGAGACCAAGACCGATCCCGAGTACTACAACACTGTTATCAGAGAACTTAAAATGTGTATGTGTGGGAAGCAAATTAAAGGATTGAAACCAAATATTTACTCAGGCGGTACAATTTGACATTAAACCCTTTTTTTATTGATTGGAATTAAACCATAATAAACTATTCTTGTTATATGGTCTGGCAGGCAGGCAGGCAGGCAAGTAGGCAGGTATGTAAAGACAAACAAGTCTTTGAACATATTTTGGAAAGCCCAGACCATGATGTCATGGTTTTCTTTGTTTCTCATAGTTTAGTTTTAAACATGAATTTAGCAGTGGTGGGTGGTCAGGGCCTTCAAGGCCTTCACTGCTGGCCTAAAATCAATGAGAAACACTAACCTACATCCATAAACTAAACTGTAATTTTCTTCTTTCCAACTGTAAATTGTCCCAAAAAATCCAAATACTCTAATTTTGCAGCATTTCTCTGGGCTGCGATTTTTTCGTCCAATCAGATTTCAGCCTATTTGTGTTGTTAGGTCAATCAAATCTACCAAGGGCCTTTAGAATCAGCAGCGCCGACTAATCTTACCTTCAAGGGGTCATAGGATGATTATATATGGTATTTGGTACTGGTCCTTAACTTCTCTGAATAGGATGTGTAACATGGGTTGGGCTGAAAATGGCATATTTGCTGTTCTATGAGCCCTAATGCAAGCATGGTTGTGCCAAGTGGCACATGCCACAGCATGAAACAACAGGTTTTCTTCCTTTTATGGTATGCTCATGAATATTTAGATGAGCTGTGAGCTGATTGGTTGGTTTACAATGACGAAGCTGCTGAGCAAAGACGCATCATAGCAACAAGCACTCACTCACTGAAACATCACATTACTGATACGGTAGGGTGACCAGACGTCCTCCTTTACTCGGACATGTGCTACTTTTCATACCTAAAAATGTTTTCTAAATTTCAAAATGTCCAGGATTTTGGTCGACTACAGTGCAGCAGAACCGAGCCGTGAGCTCTGGAGCTGGTCTGGGAACTCTGGTGGACGGGGAGAGGGAGCCAACGGGGGACGGAGCGACCGAATCTGTCCAGTGACAGTAGCCTTACTGGGCAGGCGGGTGAAAGCATACCGTCACTGGGTTGGGTTCGGTCGCTTCGTTCCCAGCTGGCCCTTGACACAGACCAGCCCCGGAGCTCACTGCTCGGTTTAAATGCCCGGTCCGGTCCAGTCAGTGGCCCCAGAAACCCACATCTGGTCACCATAGATATGCTAGCATTGCTATCAACAGCTTAGTGACAGAATCATACTTATAGCTTGTGGTTGTGATGGCCTTACGGTCAGAACAGCCCCTCGTTACAGTTAAGTTTAGCAAATACTGCTTTGAACTGTCCAAGATTTTGAAAGCTGTCTTCGGTAAAATGCTTAGAGCAAATGAACAGCTGAGCATCAAACTTTGCAGGAATCTTCTGATAGACAAAAATAATCCATGTCTGTCAAGTCTTTGGATCCTTGGGGAGACTGTGAAAAATGTCCCCTTTCTCCATGCAGCCTGAACAATGCATTTACGCCCGTGGTCCTGGCTAATTTTCAATAGAGAAACTGTCTGCTTTTTAATTCTTGCAGAAGTAAACCCAACTTTAGGTTAAACAGCTACACTGGTGTCTTACATCTACCTCTATTCATGTTCTTGGGCCAGTGACCTGGTCTGTATGTCAATTTCAGGGCATGACAAAAGTGCAGGCCAGAACCAAATAAGGCAACATCCCTGAATTGATATCAATTCTGTGCTTCGTTTGAATTTGACTGTTTTACGGTTGAAGTTTAGAAATGTGAGATTTGCAGAGAAAGGAGGTGTCCTTTGGGTTTGAACTTCTCTGTACATCAATTTCATCTACTGAACTATCGTTATTCACCTATGACAACGTAAACTCGGTTTTGCATTCTATGACCCCTTTAACAATATTAGTGTGGAACGCTTTCTTCAGCCAATCAGATTTCAGATTTTCCCCACAGGGCCAGCCAGAGCACCCACTCAAACGGTCAGTTAGAGCAAAGTGTTTATAGCCAAGTGAAAGCTAGCGACAATTTTTATTAATAGTGTTTCTGGCCAAATGGCTGGAGATACTAAGACTTTCTGCATAAAGACAGAAGAATGGATTTTTTTAATAAATAATCAGCATCTCTGGTGAGTGGGATATATTTTCATGCTTTATGGGCTCTATGAAGTAGAGGATTGGCCTTGTCTTAACTTGGTTTCTTGCTAAATTGAGCTCCCCCTATAAATAAATAAATAAATATATATATATATATATATATATATATATATATATATATATATATATATATATATATACAGTATGTATGTAAATAACATCTAGGGATAATAAATAGATTAAGTTGAGGGGCACCCACTGAAGTTCTAATTCCTTGTGTGACATCATTACAATATCTACAAAGATATAAGGAAGAGAATTTTGGGCCGTAAAAAGTGCCATTTATCCTTTCACAAATGGATGCTCATTTGCTCTGACATGTATATTGAAGTATAACCAGCCTGACAATCTACAACATTCATCCCATTTAGAAGACTCAGAGATTGTTTGAACATGTAATATTGTAAATAGAGGAACAAATCCTCTACTACATGGGCTGAAATGTCAGTCAAAGTGGAAGACTTTTGATGCCTTCTTACCTAGGTGATAATATAACCTTAAAATTTGATGAAGATTAATTAAAAACTACCTGCTGATATTGAAAATATCAGCATTGTAATGGTGACCAGCAATAATCAAAGCATACAATATAACTGAAGAGAGAACAGAGAAACTGGTGATGAAACTTGATTTATTGTTTGGGAAAATGCCAGTGGACAAAATCAGAGCTTGCCAATGCATCACCCTGCCAACATAGGAGTATGGTAGAAACGTGAAATGGGAGAAGCAATGAAAGTAAGACCAGTGTTTTGTAAGCGAAAAGCACCCAGGTCACGTCCCAATCTGACACCATTTTAAATAAGGCTGATTCAGCCTTACTCTGCAGGATGCGTAGTAACAGACGTAACCTCCCCCCTTACTGTGTCCCCCTCCTCTCTCTCTCTCTCTCTCTCTCTCTCTTGCTTTCTCCTCACCTCCACCTCTGCAGTAGCTCTCTCTCTCTCTCTCGCTCATTTCTCCCTGTGCCGGCTTTCCGCGCACTTTCTGCTTTCCTGCCTCGCTGCTGGCTCTAGCCCAGCATCCCTCTGTGCCTCATGCCTGTTCTCCTCCAGTCCTCCTACAGCCAAGTCTCACCCAGTGAGGTTTACTGGCCAGGCTGCTTCTCTAGCTGTTGCTGCTGATGGACCAAAGGGGCTTGATACTGCACTGTGAAGCCGCCACTGCAGCTCTGCCTCGCGTCTCTTCTTTTCCTTTTCCCTCAGAGTGTTTTTTCTTGATATTCATTCTACCCAAGCAGCAGTAGAGGACAGAAAGAAGGGAGGGGAACAGACAGAGTCTCCTTGTTTCGATACTGCATTGCCCTGTCTGTCTTTTCTTTTTTCAAACCTTGCTTTCTGGAGAACAACTGGGCAGAGGAGAGCTCTTCTCTTCAGTGCTTCACATCCCTGCTCATTGCCGGGACAGGGTGCAGGGGAGGAGAAAAGAGGGAGGGACTGCAAGCAGGACTTCAGATTCTTGCTCTTAGCTGCACAGCTCAGTGTCTCACCTTCTTCTGGAGGCAAATTAGTCCAACCTGTCTCTGGTGGACAGGAAGACAGTTTGTCAAGGACATACCCTGTGGGCTTACAGAGGAATAGAAGGACAGGTGGTGTTGGTGTCATGGCGTCAGTGGACAGCACCGGTTCGAGTGTCTCTGGTCGGCTGAGATCAGGGGATTTGATCCATGCTGGTCTGGCAGCTGTGCTGCTGCTCGGTGAGTTGGACGCTACTCGCTTCATACATTTAGTGACATTGTGTTCTTTCCTTCCCCCCTGCACACTTTTATGGTGGGCTTTTTGGTGGATTCAGAACAACAAACTCAAATGGTCAAAAATTCCTAAGTCAATCAAATTAAACTGTACTTATCCTTTTTCAATGTCTCCTACTTTAGTTTTCTTTTACTGTTTTGGTCCTGGTTAATTGGAAGAGCAGATTCACTTTTTTTTTTTTCAATCATTCTTGATCCTTCTGTAATAAAATTCTGTCAAAGATGACGAGGACAGTGAGATCAAGAACAACAAACTTTGAATCTTTTCTTAACTTGCATATCCTGGAAATCAGTTGCTGAACTGTATTATTAACTGACTAAACTAACTGTCTTTTACAATCTGACTATTGCTTGGTTAATGTAAGAAGGGGAAACCAAAGTTTGAATACCTATATATGCATCTAGCGGATGACTAAGTGAAATGATGTTACTGTTAGTGACGTAGTGATGCAGTGATGATCTGAGTTTTTGATCACCCCCTCACTGATTTTGTTGGATGTAATCGGTGGTTCTCTCTTTTGGGAAACTTTTACTCTGGTAATGTTCATGTCATATACAAACTTCAGTGAGTTTGTATGAAAGAAACAGTTAAATAAAAAAATACAGACATACAAAATACAAACAGAAATGTACAAAAAATCCATCTCTAGAGAACAATTTACAACTCTAGAGTATAAAATACTTGACGATGACCCTCTGAGGAAAAACTAGTAGTAGAAAATTGGGCTATCATATTTTGATTCTTAAAACTAGCCATTAATTTGTTTGTGATTTATCATTAATTCTCAAAGAAATTAAGCCTTCTCTATTTTCTTGATATCATATGCCTTCAGTTTGTTTTCAACAATAAATGTGGTTCATATATAAATGATCTAAATGAATTCTTTTTTAACACAGTTTCACTTGGAAACTTGCAGTAGTAACTGGAGAGGGATGTGAATCATTTTGCCAGTTGAACGTTCCATGTTAGATTTGGGCATGAAATCGAGCTGTCTTCCTGGAATGTT